GCCCCATTTGCCGTATTATATCATTTGTTTATTATACAAGATCTCATTGTATAATATCAAGATGTAAAACGGTCGATTATGGGTTTTTAGTATTCGATGTCGAAACTCGGAATCGTCTGTAGACGACTTAGGTACCTGGCGGGGTGTTGTACTCGGTAGAGCAGTTACCACGCTGCGATCTGTTGAGGCTCAGCCCTTTGCTTGGGGATTCGTCTTGTCAGTTAGACGAGACCCCGTTTTTGTTTTTTTTTTTTTTTAATTTTACAAAAACAATACGTATCTATCAACAACACATTTCAACTTATGTTTTGATTTTTTTAATAAAATCCTACAACAATACGTATCTCAAAAATTAACATTAAAACTAGGTTAATATATGCTGTTATCCCCCCCATCTATACCAAGGAATTTAGATTGGTTAAAAAAAATCAATATTTGATTCTTTTGATTTTTTATTATTCGTTATTGAATGTTTTTCGAACAATGTTTCTCACAACGTTTTCTATTTTTTGATATACTGAATTTCATCTGAAGCATTGTTAATATTATATTATTGTAAGAAATATTTTTTCGTCATACCTGCGCGGAAAGTTCACTTTTTCATTAGAGAGGGGTTGAATTTTCCACACAGGTATAACGAAAAATCATATTCAACCTTAGGGAAGACAATTAGACAAGCTTGAACCACGTGTAAAATTGTATAAGCTACTCTACTTTGCCTCCCTAAGTGTGAAATGTATTCTTTTTCAGAAATTGATTTCACTTATGTCATATATTTAATTTTTCTTGATTTGTTTTTACCTTTTTATATAGATAGACATGTTTTATTTTCTAGATTATAATTGAATACATGCTTACTTTTGAATGTAAATTTAATTCAATAAAACAATTTTAAAAACTAAGATTTCTTTTATAACATCTGCCTTGCATGTAATAATCTCCTTTTAGTTGGATACCGTACATATTCATACAAACTTACAGCTAAACCGGGGAGGTTTTCGAACGATTTTTCAAAACATTTAGCCATAGACAATGTCTATTCGATATTTTTTAAACAACTTTTTGCTGAGTAAAATTAAAAATAAAAAGAATGAACAATCATTAAAAAAATTCATTCAATTCGGTGGACAAACACAGCACTTGTGAGCAAGCAGGAATTATCGACAGTAGATTCCTAGCTCTGGAATGTCACTACAGCTGTAGTTTGATTTTATATTATTTTATGATGAACAAATTTATCAAACATCATTTACTATTGTAATAAATGAACATTTAAATTTTTTTATATAATGAATAAACAATTATTGTAGTGGTTGACTTTCTTAGACTTAAAATGCTACAGAATTGATGTTTCAGCGTCGCCTAGTGGCGAAATAGGCCCCAGAAAAACAAAAACCATGTGCTAAAAGTAAAAAATAAGCAGTAAAGCCAGAAAAGAAAGACCAGTATAAAAGTTCAGTCCATATAGGAGCTAAAAACAAAATTCTAGGCTTTTGATAATTGGGGGTTATTCTGTACATCCCGGTGCTCTAGAATTTGACCTTAAGTAGTAATTTGTCCTAAAACTCGAAAAGACGAAAGTGACAGTGAAACCGGAAATGGCTATAATTTGAGCATAAATTACGCTCGGATCATAATTTTGACTAGTGCATCGAAAAGCTCTTGATCTCAGGAATCCATTGACGTGCTTGTGGTCCATGTACCTCTCATAGATCGTGAATTATGAGCGAAAATCGAAGCTATGCTCTAATAAAACATAAAAAAACGTTTAAACGCTCATAACTCGAAAACTAAGCGAGATACGGCATTTTTGACGGGGGTATCCTATAGGGGGAGCCTTTTTTTTTACTCAGGTCCAGATCTTTCATATGAGCCCTCGATCAACCCCGTAGCATTATTAGCATAGAAGTTATGCATATTTTAATGTTTTGCAGTTTTTCGAGAATATCTCTTGATCTATCTAACTAAATACAATCGACAGCCAGTGTTTGGGAACCGTCTTGTCCCCGCCTTTCCAATGACATCATCAATTCAATGATCCAAACATAAATACGATTTTTTTCATTTTTTGAGGTTAGAAAACAAAATTCTAGGATTTTGATAATTAGGGGTTATTCTGTACATCCCGGTGCTCTAGAATTCGACCTTAAGTAGTAATTTGTCCTAAAACTCGAAAAGACGAAAGTGACAGTGAAACCGGAAATGGCTATAATTTGAGCATAAATTACGCTCGGATCATAATTTTGACTAGTGCATTGAAAAGCTCTTGATCTCAGGAATCCATTGACGTGCTTGTGGTCCATGTACCTCTCATAGATCGTGAATTATGAGCGAAAATCGAAGCTATGCTCTAATGAAAACATAAAAAAACGTTTAAACGCTCATAACTCGAAAACTAAGCGAGATACGGCATTTTTGACGGGGATATCCTATAGGGGGAGCCTTTTTTTTTACTCAGGTCCAGATCTTTCATATGAGCCCTCGATCAACCCCGTAGCATTATTAGCATAGAAGTTATGCATATTTTAATGTTTTGCAGTTTTTCGAGAATATCTCTCGATCTATCTAACTAAATACAATCGACAGCCAGTGTTTAGGAACCGTCTTGTCCCCGCCTTTCCAATGACATCATCAATTCAATGATCCAAACATAAATACGATTTTTTTCATTTTTTGAGGTTAGAAAACAAAATTCTAGGCTTTTGATAATTGGGGGTTATTCTGTACATCCCGGTGCTCTAGAATTTGACCTTAAGTAGTAATTTGTCCTAAAACTCGAAAAGACGAAAGTGACAGTGAAACCGGAAATGGCTATAATTTGAGCATAAATTACGCTCGGATCATAATTTTGACTAGTGCATTGAAAAGCTCTTGATCTCAGGAATCCATTGACGTGCTTGTGGTCCATGTACCTCTCATAGATCGTGAATTATGAGCGAAAATCGAAGCTATGCTCTAATAAAACATAAAAAAACGTTTAAACGCTCATAACTCGAAAACTAAGCGAGATACGGCATTTTTGACGGGGATATCCTATAGGGGGAGCCTTTTTTTTTACTCAGGTCCAGATCTTTCATATGAGCCCTCGATCAACCCCGTAGCATTATTAGCATAGAAGTTATGCATATTTTAATGTTTTGCAGTTTTTCGAGAATATCTCTTGATCTATCTAACTAAATACAATCGACAGCCAGTGTTTGGGAACCGTCTTGTCCCCGCCTTTCCAATGACATCATCAATTCAATGATCCAAACATAAATACGATTTTTTTCATTTTTTGAGGTTAGAAAACAAAATTCTAGGATTTTGATAATTAGGGGTTATTCTGTACATCCCGGTGCTCTAGAATTCGACCTTAAGTAGTAATTTGTCCTAAAACTCGAAAAGACGAAAGTGACAGTGAAACCGGAAATGGCTATAATTTGAGCATAAATTACGCTCGGATCATAATTTTGACTAGTGCATCGAAAAGCTCTTGATCTCAGGAATCCATTGACGTGCTTGTGGTCCATGTACCTCTCATAGATCGTGAATTATGAGCGAAAATCGAAGCTATGCTCTAATAAAACATAAAAAAACGTTTAAACGCTCATAACTCGAAAACTAAGCGAGATACGGCATTTTTGACGGGGATATCCTATAGGGGGAGCCTTTTTTTTTACTCAGGTCCAGATCTTTCATATGAGCCCTCGATCAACCCCGTAGCATTATTAGCATAGAAGTTATGCATATTTTAATGTTTTGCAGTTTTTCGAGAATATCTCTCGATCTATCTAACTAAATACAATCGACAGCCAGTGTTTAGGAACCGTCTTGTCCCCGCCTTTCCAATGACATCATCAATTCAATGATCCAAACATAAATACGATTTTTTTCATTTTTTGAGGTTAGAAAACAAAATTCTAGTACTTTGATAATTGGGGGTTATTCTGTACATCCCGGTGCTCTAGAATTTGACCTTAAGTAGTAATTTGTCCTAAAACTCGAAAAGAAGAAAGTGACAGTGAAACCGGAAATGGCTATAATTTCGTACCATTCACGAAAAGATTCACAAACAGAGATTTCACCCCTTAGCTACCTACGTAAAGCTAAAATCATATACATATGAAGTCAAAAGTATAAAGTCAAAAGTGTATAAAGTCAAAAGTGGGGTGGGCTTGCCATCCGGAACTCAGAAAATTATTTTGTTTTTTGTCTTCTTTCTGCCTAATGTGATGGATAGGACTTCGTAAAGTCCCTATTGTTTGTGAGATTAAGGCTGCTGGGATAATAGCGGTTTTATTGTCCCAGAAATTTTTTTAAGAAACTCTCTTCAGGTACTAAGTTTCAGGCCCTTTGAGCAGTCCCAATATATATTTTTTAAAGGAATATTGTTATGTTGTCAAATTTTAATTCATCAAAAATATCTTATTAATATTATAAATATCTTTATCGAAGCCTTTGGCTCATTTCCATCATGCATAATTAAATTTTTTTTTCTCTTCCAAACATCGTTATCTGCTATAAAAAAATTGCTTCGGTCGTACATTATTTTTTTCTCTCCTTTAGCGTGATTGCATATGAAATTTGTCCTAAAAATATTAATTATTACAATTGATTGAATTAAAAAAAAATGACATTAATAGGCTTGAATACAAAACCTACGTTTCCGTAGTCAAGCGTGTTACCTCTGAGTTGTTACAAAAATATCGAATTGGTTTTATAGCTTCTATGTATGTTACGAACAGAGCCGGACCTTATCCATTCAAAAATTGGTGCTTGAAAATGAACTGGCTTAGGATTCTTATAATGAGAGTAAAAGAGAACACAAATCTTATCTCTTTTCTCTTTTAGATTAAGGGGCGTGGTTAGAATAAACTGTTGCAGCGCCATCGCTCGATGGGTTCACAGAAACTTTTATGTTGTGACCTGAGATTACCGACATGTTAACCCAAAATACCGACATGTTGACCGAAACTTCGGCCGGATTTTTAACACAGCATGGGACTTCTGTACTGTTCTCTCTTCTCTGATAAAGCATATTATTACTTGAAATAATGTTGTAAACACTCTTATAATCCAATATTCACTCAGAGCTTCATTCATTGATCCATACTTATGACATAACCAATCAAATAACGAATTACACAAGATTACAAATTTTAAAATCTACAGCAATCATTTTTTTTTTGTAAAAATAGATATGACAGAAATTATCTAGAGGAGTGATTAGTCGTGTTTCAACAGCTGATAACGAACCATCTACTGCGAATCTTCTCATCGCGAATATACTGTTTTTGACCTAAATAAACGTATCACATCAAACATTCCAGTGAAATAATTTAACAAAAAAATGGCATTTTTGGGTAAAGTTGTTTTAATTACGGGAGCCAGTTCTGGAATTGGTGCAGCAACTGCTATTCACTTATCAAGTCTAGGAGCTTCGTTATCACTTACTGGACGTAACATGGAAAATCTTGAAAAAGTTGCCGGCCAATGCAAAGATCGCCAGCCATTGCTGATAGTTGGCGAACTAACTAATGAACAAGACACGAAGAATATTTTGGAAACTACAATTAAACATTACGGCAAGCTGGATGTCTTGATCAACAATGCTGGTACCATTGAACGGGGCTCTATTGAAAATACAAGCTTGGAACAATATGATCGGTAATAGAAATAATCATCATTAATTCAAAATATGATAATCAAACCTTTTAAATATATAATACAATAATGTTTTATATTCATCACCAGCTGCATTCTCTACCACTTTTCTAATTTTCTATTGCTTTTCAGTGTTTTTAATCTCAATGTTCGATCGATGTACCAACTTACCATGCTGGCAACTCCCCACTTGATAAAAACTAAAGGAAACATCGTTAATGTCTCTAGTGTGAATGGATTAAGATCTTTTCCAGGAGTTTTAGCTTATTGTATGAGCAAATCTGCTGTTGATCAATTCACTCGTTGTGTTGCTATTGAATTGGCTCCAAAACAGGTACCAAAGCATTGTTGATTCTAATCTATTATATTGAGAGGCAAAAAAAAATTCATAATTTGTTGAAGAATACATGGAATTCATTGAAAATGGTGTTATTAATAATTATTTTACTGTGTTAGATTATAAAATATCTATTATTGTTCAGGTTCGTGTAAATGCAGTGAATCCTGGTGTAGTGATAACTAATCTCCACGAGAGAAGTGGCATGAGTCCAGAAGAGCTAAAAAATTTCTTCGAACGCAGTAAAACAACTCATGCTCTTGGTCGACCAGGGAATGTTGACGAAGTGGCAAAAACTATTGCTTTTCTAGCTAGTGATGATGCTTCGTTTATCACTGGAGCAACACTCCCTGTTGATGGTGGACGACATGCTTTGTGTCCTCGTTAAAAAGATATCTCTTGATGTAAAATATCGTTGGAATAAGAAGATATTAATTTTATATTTTTTTTACGACACAATGTCTTGTTTCCAAATAAATTCCTCTTGAAAACCAGATTCGATATCACATGAATTCTTGCAAGTAAAAATTGTTAGAACTCCCCAATCAAGACTTTTTAAAACATCATTGAAGTTTAGGTAATTTAGAAGCTGAGGCATTACTTGGAATTCAAATTCACGGGCTTGGTTGCAGTTTTCACACTTGGGAATGTCTTTCAGTTGATTTTCGGCAGATATCCAGAGAGGTTTGCCTCCTCGTTGGTATCTGAAATAATTCAATTTCATTGTGAAAGTGGAAACATATTGAAGCATCTTTGAGGAATATTTAATTAATTATTTATAGTTTTTTAAAATTATTATTCGTTATTGTATATGTTTATCAACTAGCATACATATATTATTGTTCTAAATGTGATACTTCATGGCTGAATAATGCATTGGTTTACGTACACTAAGTATTATATTCTGAATGCCAATATATATGTAAGAAATAATTAAATTAATATTCGCAATGAATCCATATTTAAAAAAATATTATGATCCTAATGTTAAAGATAAAATATGTTGATGGTTCAAACTAAAAATATTTGCATTTATGAGTTATCACATCTAGGACTATCATGTGAATAATTTCTTACTAGGAAATTAAATATTTGATTATTTTTATTTCATTCCTTCGAAAACATTTCGTAATTTAATAGGATAAATGCACCAATAAGTTTACAGTTAAGTCCAACAGATAAACAGAATATAAAATATCATTAAGAATAGAAAATCAATTTTTTTTTAAAGTATTTTATATTTTTTCTATTAATAAGACTTTGCTTTAAGGTTAAGATGTTTTATCATGCTAGAATGTTTAATCTTTTATAATTTCAACAATTCATCTATATTCTGGGTAGTATCTATTCTTTAGTCTTCTATTCACCCGAAATTAATGCTGAGATTAGTAATTTATAATGTCAAGAATGATACTTTTAATCAAGTCAAACTTGTGTAATTAACATGATTATGTTGCACAGTTTAAATATGGTTTTGATTCAACAAATAATCGAAAATCTTTGCCAATTTATTGAAAGGCTAAGCTAAACTTTAAATGAACTAAAAGATGCTTTTCATTATTTATTGATACAACATACGAGTCATCAAGAATTTTAATTAATATTTTATTAAAGAATTTGGTGACAATCTTGCTCACCTTAATATCTGATCTGGATGCTTTTTAACAGTTTCTTGAAATTTTAAAAAGGTTTCATCCTCATTTGCAACTGTCATTTTCATCAAATCAGCTTCATCAGCATCAGCAAGTGTTCCAGCTTGTCCATTTTTTACCATCATTTTAAATTTTTCAATCTCTCTTTTCTCCTTTTCAAAATCATTCTCTTCTTCTTCATCTTCACTACCTTCATAATTTTCACTCTCAATTGCTATTTTATATTCCAAAAATAATAGACCTGGAGTAGATGATATTTGCCCTGCATCTTCGGAACACTCTTTCTTGTGGCCTGCTTTCCAGTCAAGTACTTGATGATGTTTTGAGCAATAATTGACATTCTTACATTTAGCACATCGATGAGGTGCTCTTAAGAAACATACTCGACACATGGGACCATAACTAGAGGCATCTGGAAGACAAAAAATAATTATAATTCATAAAAAAGAATGTTTTAAAATAATTATTAGACACAAACCTATATCTGGTCTCCAACTTTTTTCTTCAATTGGTGGATCAAATGGATAATAATCATTTTCTCTTGGCAATTGTGACCTTAATACTCGTACATTTTTGTTACTATTCAATTCACAACAATTAAAATCTCGACAAATGAATATAAAAATTTGTCGATGAAAGGCATTAGGCTGATCAAGTGCTGCATAAATTTGGCATAAAAATACACAAGGATTCCCACAATTTCTGCATTCAACATCTTTTGCTGTTGGTATCTTTTTCAAATCTAACCATGCCGGCTTTCCACCCACTTTACTCACAAAAAACCGGCTTGATAACCTCCAGGAATCACATTCTTCAACAAAACCAATTTCTACCTCATCCATGGCTTTATATCTTTTATAAAGTTATTTAGTTATTTATAATAAAAGTATTATAAATAATCATTCTTTTCTATGTACGACTAAATTACAGTTTTTTTTTCTAGAAAAAAAAACATTAAAAAACATACTAACCTAACCTATCAACAATACGGCGTCATGTAACCAACGACAGCTTATTTGCCAATAATGGATAAAATAAAATATGGCATTATCATTATTGTACGATACATAAAAGTCCTATTTTGTCAACTTTGTTGAGTTTTTTTTCAATTGTTGATCATTCACAGTAAACTAAGTAGTTGGAACTATTTTTTAAATAAAAAAAACAATCATGGGCAAATATAAAATTAAGGTAACTAATTTATTCCTTAAAATAAATCTTTATTTATTTATTATTAAATAAAGTGTTTTTCTTGTAAATATATTTATAGGTTGGTATAATTGGTGGTTCTGGTCTAGAAGATATAGCAAATCGCATACTAGAGTCAGCTACTGAGATAAAACCTGAGGAGTTAAAGAATGATTTTGGTGAACCAAGTGGAGCTATTTATTCAGGAATTCTTCATGGAGTAGAAGTAGCTTTATTATCTAGGTAATTTTAAAAAACATGGTGGAACTTGGTGAAGCAAAATCTCAAGGGATCAGTGATTTTATATTACTTGTAAAAATATACCTCATTCATCCACTTAAATGTAATTTATTTCAATTGTAAAAATTTCTCACTTATCCAAGTTCCACTTAACCAAGTGTTACTGTTATGTACTTTATTTGCTAGTTGGCATTTATATCACTAAACAATGCTATATTATTGAATACTTATGTTATAGACATGGATCAGGCCATAGATTGAGTCCTAGCCAAGTGAATTACCGAGCCAACATTGAAGCTTTGAAGATGCTAGGTTGCACTCACATCTTGGCATCAAACGCTTGTGGATCTTTAGTAGAAGACATTGGCAGAGGAAAGCTGGTAGTTCTTACGAGTTTCATAGATCGTACAAATGGCCGAAAAGGAACGATGTTTGATGGATCATCATCAAAGTATCCAGGTGTCTGTCATGTTCCAATGGAACCAGCGTTTCATCCTGAAGTTAGAAATGTCTTACTTAAAGCTGGTGAGACCCTAGGATTGAATATGGCTCCAGCTTATAAAGGAACTATTATTAGTGTTGAAGGTCCACGATTTTCATCTAGGGCTGAAAGTAAAGCTTTTCGGATGTGGGGAGCAGAACTAATAGGCATGACTACATGTCCAGAGGTAAAGTTTTTTTTTGTTAAATTGATTAATGAGGCGACAATTGATTAGTAAATGAAAAACATCCAATTACTTGTATCATTTTAACTCTTAATGGAATATTTGATTGACATTGGAATTTTGTGAAGCAGGAAATGTAGAAAAGACTGCTGAACATACATTAGTAATAGCTGTCTACCATCTCAAAAATTCTACCAACATTATTTAATTTTTCATAAATAATTTTCTACATTTTGTTAATCTCTGAGGCTTAGCTAGCTTTCCATCTATTAGTATATTCACCTTAGTTAAAGTTAATTGTTTAATTAATTCAAAGAATAATTTATCAATTTAATTGTTTAATAGTAACCAAAATAACTAGTATCCTAGCTGGACTCTCTGTTTATTGATACACTTTTGTTCTATTATAATAAATCTCTTTCTAATGAATTTTTTTATTACAATAAATTCAATTAAAAGTTAATTATGATATTGTTCTAATCTCAGGTTTGTCTAGCTAAAGAAGCAGGACTTCTTTATGCCTCAATAGCAATGGTAACTGATAATGATTGTTGGGATGATAAATGTGATAATGATGGTGTATGTGTTCCTGATGTAATGGCAGTATTTAAACAAAACGTCAGCAAAGTCACTCAACTGATTATTAAAGCTGTTGAACTCATTGGAAAACGTGATTGGGATCAAGAGATTGATGACTTAAAGGTAACAGTATATTTTTTACTCATACATCAAGTTATAAACTATCAGTATTTACTTAATAATTGTAATCCAATCCTTTCTTTTTCAGGATCTTATTAAAAGCAGTAATATGACCAAATAAGAATAATTAAAAAAATAACTAAAATAAAATACTAGAAGTTTTTTGATGAAAATAATAACATTCCATTGTCTTTATTTGCAAGTAAATTACCTAAGATTTTGATTTAGCTATTTTGAGCCAAAAGATCGATAACTGATGAGCTACGCCGTAGGTCAAGAGAGGTGCACATACACAAATAACACCTCTCACAACATTCATAATTTTTGGGATAATTTAGCGAGATAAAAAAGCTGACACAAAACTATTTTTCTACAATTTTTCAACCGTGTCTAGAAGTACTAATATTTTTTAAAGATAACAAATATTTTTTTAATCATTGAATTGATACTTTTCTTATGATGATTAAAAGTCTTAACTAATTGTAATTTTAGAATTGAAATTCTTGTATAAACAGGGTCAATATGCACCAGTGAATGAACGAGATAGCACATGTATCCGAGTATTCTTATTTCACTAATAAACCAGATAATAATTTAATTCTTTGTAATTAATGAAATCATCGATATACTTAATCGTTCATTTACTGGTGTATTAATCTTACATAATTAATTTATGTACAATGTGAAATATGATAATCACTTATGAAATAAAACTGTTTAAAATAACATTATTTATTTAAACTTTTACATTTTTTTTTACAATAACGTATTGTTACATAATAATAGTTTACTTCAATTAATTAATATAGATTTATTACAGGATATTTTTTTCTTTAAAATTATTTTTTTTTAAAATAGAAGAAAAAGCGACTTTAAATATCATTTTAAGTTATATCTACAATTTACAAGGTCATTTTTAAGTAAGTATTTATTTAACTTTATTCATTATTCAAAACTGAATTGGCGGTTTTTTTGAAATAAAAAATATGCTTTGATATTCAAATAGAATTGATTTAATTTTAATAATAAAATATGATTGAATTCATTTTAGAAATCATCAATATAGCTTAAAATTAATGATAATTTTTTTTCTTTCAAATACTTTTAGGTTTATTATTAGCATTGACAATTTGTTTAAACTCATAAAATGTTCATTAAAATAAATATAATTGTTTAAATATAATTTTAAAATTTTCCGATAAAATGCAAGAATAAAAGAATAAAGAGTGTTTTTTTTTTTTTTCCTAAAATAAAAATAATATTCCATAATGATTATTTTTTTAATAATTAATAATAAAGAAATTTGATAATAAATTGCAAAAAAAATTTACTTTTTATTTTAATCATAAAAATTTTCAATCTTCTCATTGTTCTATTTAAATTCTCGCAAAAATATTTACAGAAGAAAACAAACCGACGTAAAAAACAAACGTTCTCATTGTTTTCTGTATTTACATCAATCACTGAAAAGTATATTATTATTTCAAGAAATTTCTATCTCTTTTTTCGATGAATTTTTTTTCATATCATTGATGTACAACGTTATTAAATTAATACATTAATGTTAAATTTGTCAATAAAAATGAGATAGTTTTGATCTAAACACAGAATATTATTATTCAACAGTAATTAATGATAATTAATGACCATTTATCAATTAACCAATTTGTTAATTGTGCGATTTTCCATGATTAAATTGTTGTTTTGTATTATTTAACTTAATTTTGAACATTTTTTTATGTCTTTTACACCTTATTGTCAACCATATCAACATTTATTTTATAATAAACGTATGGAAAGTATTCATTTTGACCAAATCCTAGACCAGGAATATCAACGCTCTGTAAAATAAAAAAGATTCATTATTAATTCGATGTTGAATCCATGGAATAATGCATTGTATACCCAGGAAACAAAATATAATATTTTGTCAGTCCAGTCAACAAAGTGAGAAAAAATGAAAGAACTTTAAATTTTGTACAAAAAAGGTGCTCAGACTTTTTGTTCTTTTTGCCTCAATTTAACTTAAAATGACATTAAAGATAAAAATAATTAATTTTTAACGTTTTTTCATCTTTATTATAATTCGTAGGCTAAACTAAGAAAGATAGGAAAAAAGTCTAAAAACCTTTTCATGCAAAATTAACTAAACTTTAATTTTTATTTCAAACTTTCTGGCATATCTTTTCAAAACTATGTTCAATTGTCCATCATGCCTTTGATGTATGTAGTATTTTCTATCACATTCTTATTAAATGATAAAAAAAAAAATATATTACGTACATCTTGATTTCCTGAATGACCACCTGATGCTGCAGATGAGTCTAGATGAGCATAAAGTTGATTCAAAACGTCCCGCAACCGTTTCGTACATTTTTTATGCGGATGTAATAAAATAGCTTGAAAATTAACCGGCAATCCGTATCTGTAATAAAAAAAACTTATTTAATATCATCAACAATAATCCTAATAGAAGCAGAAGGTGAAAATTTACCTTAAAACAGATTCCACAAATACTCGAAGAGCTTTGACATGAATCCAAGCGCAAAAACATTCGCTAAAGTTGACTTTGAGCCAACGAACAAGTGGACCAAATTGTTTCTTCTTATCTGTGACGAGTTTGGTAATTTCATTTTTACCAGCAGCTAATTCCTCTTCATTATAGGTAAAATCACGTACAATAAACTTCTTCTCACGTGCATGTAATTTAAATTCTTCAATAACTTTTTTAAATAATGTTACAGTAAATAATCCATATTCAGCATCTTGAGTTATTAATTGAGTGCTTCGTGGGACAATCATATCTGTTAATTTTTCATAATATGCATGCCATTCGTGAAAACTTGATTTAGGAACAATCACCAGAAGAGTTGATAAATATTCACTGTCTAAAATAAAGTGTTCTTTCCTCACTAAATCGGCAAGATTACGTGTTAATAAACTCCCTCTGTAAAAGAAAAAACAAGTTGAGTTATTTTTTTTAAATTCAATTTCCATGTAATTTATTTAAGGGATGTTTAAATAAACGATCATTGAATAAATATTTATAACAAAAAATAAATTTTGGATTTGATTGAACTCAATCCGATCCAATATGACCTTTGAAGCAATAAAATTATTATTAATGTCAAAGATACAATTATTCATCATAAAAAATGTTCAACAAACATTTTCTTATTTTTATAAATAAATAAAAAAACAATGGAATTTATTATATTTATTGAATAAAAGTAGGGTAATTGATTGTAACCATGTGGCCAATAAGTTTAACTTTTACCCCAATTTTTTATGTTTCTAAATCAATATTTCAAACAATAATAAACTCTAAGTCTGTATTTGTTAAACAAATAAATTCATAACAATTAGGTACACATCAGGTAATTATGCCCTACTACTATGTGTGTTATTTGAGAGTAAGTATAAATTAGGAAACAATAAGTGATTTAATTATTAAGATTTTGGCATAATATGCTCAAAAAAAATAAATGATTTAGAACAAATACTTATGAGTTGATTAAAATAATAATATAATTTAGAAATAAAAATAAAATAACTTACGTCTGTTTTTTCTCGAGATTCTGAAGACTCCCTTTTAAATTATTATACGTAGTGGATTTAGTCTTCAAATCAGTATCAATCTGACCAACTTGTTTACTGATTATATCAGCAATATTTCTAAGCGATTGTTTTATTGGATATTTAGCCATGTCCCATTGAAAACGTGTTATATACGTTGGTAAATCACCTATTTTTAAATAAATAAATAATATCATCAATACATCATTATAATTAGCAAATATTAAATTGTGTTAATTAATTAATCAGAATAATTAATTGAAAAACACTATTTTTATTTCAAACATTTAATTCAAAATCCAAATGAAAAGTCATGCAAAAGAGCTATGGCAATTATTAATTATTTTAAATGAAATCTTTCTAATTTATTAGTAATTATTATTAATAAATTTCTAAACTATTTAATTTTTATTTAACTAATTTATCATCATTCCTGCCAGCATTTTGCATGTTTAAGTGTTATTAAATTGTTAATTTATTTTTAATTTAAGCTAGTATCGTTGATTGATCAATTAATTATTAAATTAATTAATAATCCATTCGAGGTAATGCTTTTAATTAACGGCAGCAATTTTAATTAGCTATCGATATTTTGATTAAAAGCGATATTTTGTGTATAAGCCAAGCGTAATAGCAGTTATAAGCATCAATTGAAAAACTTATTGAAATTTTTTTTTTTTTTTTCATTTAAGCCCAGTTTCAAACAAAAACAAAAATTGTTATTTATTAAAACTTATTCTTGTAGTAATAATAATCGATTAAAATGATCGATTATAAAACATTAGTAATTTTATTAGTAATTATTTCTCTAAAAATGCTAGGTAATTTTCAGAACTAAATATCATCTAGATAATTATTAATGTTAATTATGTCTATCGTGCAAAAAAAATGATTGATAAATTTTTAGTAATCATGCAATTAAGCATTCCCATAAAAATATTTAATTTTTTTTCAAAATTCAAGTTAAATAATTTTTTCATGTTTATTTGTGTTTGTGCTGTTTGTTTTGTTTTGTAAAAATTATTAATCAAATAATGAATGATTGATCATTTATTATTATTATTATTATTATTTAATTCTATATTGTATGTCAATGAATATATACCCTGACGGATTACTGTAAATACTGTATAATCTGAAAATCGAAAGTGTGTTATAATAACATACTTTGAAGGTACAATGTTTAATTGCTATACACAAACTATAGAATCTTTTAGTCATTTTGTACACACTTTAAGATGCGTTAAAATAAGAATAGAATAAGCCTTAAAATTATGAATGCACATGCGCACAGGCATGGTCATAGAAGAGAATTAATTCTTGCGCATGCGCAGAATTTATATTATTTTTTATTTACCAGATTGAGAGAAATTGATCAATGTTAAATTGCCAGCCACAAATTCTCAATTCTTAAAATCATTTTATATACACTTCTGAAGGCCTTTATATAATTGAATGGAATAGAAATAGGGTTTAAAATGAAAGATGCGCATGCGCATACAAAAATTTTCTTCTGTACTTGTACGCATGCGTGTTCCCAATTTTTAACCCTATTCTTTTTCTTCTTCTATTCAATTGTGTGACGGGCTTTAGGGTGCCAAAATCCATAGATTGTTTAAATAATTTAACATTAAACTCATTTATGAGTATTTATTGTAACACACTTCGATTTAAAATATAACTAAAATATATTGTGTGCACAAAGAGCGTGCTAATGATTGAATGATAGTTTGAATTCCGTGAGGAATAAAAAATTAGTCACTTTCTTCTTCAATATATATATTGAATAAATTAATGTTACTGTTTATATGTAAATTAATTAATAGGATCATAATTTTATAATTTTAATTAGAATTTGATTAATATCTTCCCAGTGGGAAATCATTTGTTTTAAAATTATTATTAGATTTTAAAACCATTTAAGAGTTTAAAAATTTTTAGACAGTCAAAGGTTACTTGAAAGTCAAATTTTAATTTATCCAAATCCGTCAGGGAAGTTTTAAAAACTCTCTCAAATAAATGATTTAAAAATATTTTTGAATATCCTGCCCGCAAAAAATTGATCAGATTTTATATATTTGTATAAAAGCAATAGTTAACATTTTAAATAAATAAATAAATTGCACAGCAGGAGTTCAAGAGCGCCAGGATAGGATTTTTTTTTGTTTATATTTATTGTTTTGATCATTTTTCATTTTTTGATTATTTTTATAATTTTCTTTTCTATTTGTGAGCCACTGCTATTCGATTATTATTGTTGTTTTTATTAAATTTTTTTCTATGCCCTATTTCAGAAATAATTTTTATTTTTTATTATAGAATTTTATTGTGTCCTAAATAAGTGTCCTAATGAATTTATTTGCCTTACTTGGATTGATACATCTATGTATCATTGTTATTAATACTCTGGTTTAGCTCAGTTATAGTTGAAGGAAAAAATAAAGCCATAATAATTTATATACAAAAAAAAATTTTTAAAAAAAGTGGTCAATTTACAACGGATTTTCTGTAAATATATATATATATATCAAAAAAAAATTAAAAAAAAAAAACAGAAAATTATACATATTGATAAGTGATAAGCAAAAGCTTAGGAAAATAGTGATTTTAAAAATACTAATTGGGGCCGTGCAAATGTGCGCGCCAAAGTTAGTTCTGCTCTTTTATTTTTTTTTTTTTCAATATTTCATTGACGACTGGCGTAATTAAATTCATTTTACTTAACCCTTTAACACAATTATAGTACTTTTATTGAAAACTTTGTTTTCATTTTTTGTGGATAAAGTTTATTCTAGTAATGATCATAGATGAGCATGAAATTTTTCGAAAAATTTGTTGCAACTATATGATGAAAAAAAAAAATTATATATTAAGGTTTTTTTTGTTGATGAAAATTACATTTAAATGACAAGTTAGAAGAAATTGCAAATTTTTATATAAAATTAAAAAAAAAAAAACTGCTCAACAGTGATTTGAATAGAAAATAGGTTTTTTGAAATCCAAATTATTGTAAAAGCACAGAAAGAAATACTTTTCGACTCCGTAGCTTTAGCGCATATATTATTTCACTTAAAGCCTTAAAATGTCGACTGCGCATTCGCAGTTATAATGTTGAAGCATTATTTTTGACTAGGCATGCGCAGTCATATTTTTAATCTTAAAGATGTCAACTGCCTGTTATTTTTTCATCTTATTATTATAACCACAAAAGAATGAAAAAAAAGTTTGTTTCTAATAAAAGTTGATCAAGATATAATAATGAAAAGGTTAATAATAGAGAGATATAAAAAAATAAAAATTCTATTAGCAGCTTCAATGAAATGTCTGCCGCACGTTTGACTTATATCTCAATAAGAAGCTGAACCGAGCAGTGAATTTGGCGAAATATGAAGAGAAATGACGAAATAGGATGTGGAATAAGAAAAACTGTATTTGTGGACCAACTACGATAGGTAAAATATTGTTGGATGGAAATAAGGTCCAATCGGTTGTCGAGGCGGTTGGTAGGATGGGTACCTGGATTAGGCAGATTTCCACTAATGTCATCATCTTCATCTTCATCAATTTGCTCAGCAACATCATCGTCATCTGGATCGTAGTCGTCCGTACATGATTTGGAACTTGTAGATACTTTTCGGTGTAATTTTTTGCTTTTTTTACGACGTCTCACGCGTCTTCTAGATGGCTCACAGGCATCGCTGCTGCAGTCTGACGAGTAGGAAGGACATGGACTTGATGGTATAGGGGAAGGTGATGGTGATGAAGAAGCGGAAGTAGCACACCAATGGACTTGGTAGCACGAATAAATTGAAGATTCATTTGGCGTTCGGGCTTCATTGGTACCCTGGGATGCGTATGACTTTTTGTCGCTATTTGGATGATGGACTTTGTTCTCATGATGATGGGAACAATGGCTATGATGGTTTTGGTGTTGATGACGCTGATGATGCTGACCTAAGGTGAGTGTCGGTTCTTGATCCGAGTCCTTCCAAGGCCTGTGATGATCCTTTGATGTTGACTTTTGTGATGGAGATACTGGTGTGTTTGGTGGGGTGTCCGGACCCCCTTCCAACCCTTCTGGGCTCGTTGTATCATCATCCATTGATGTTTGACCTATCCATTATAGCCCAGTCCCAATTTTTCTCCTTACGCGCTTTTTTTTTTGTTTCTTATGTTCTTATGATTTTTTTTTTATTGCTATTTTTAATTCAACCTACGCAAACGCTTAACGACAACGTCGACGGAAAATCAACAAAAATAAATTGAGATCCGATTATTTAGCAACTATTTTGTTTCTTTTCGAATTTTATTTTAACAAATTGAGGATTTTGATGTACATTTTTATCGATTGAGATGATTTTATGATCAAAAGTAACTACATCTGTTGTTTATGTTTATACTGTTAATGCAGGTTATAGGTATTTTTGATCAATGATTCTTGATATAAATGGAATTAAAGTCATAGATATAATGTAGTTATGTACAATGCACTACTTTTAAAGCATTATTATTGTAATTTATCAATTTGCCTCTTCAAGAAGCGCTACTGTTTATGGCCAATAAAAGCTCTCTACTTGACCTACATTGTGTAAAGGCTTTTAGCATCAATATTTTTATATTTAACATATTCGTTTCTATTTAATTTAATCAATTTTCAAGTTTATAAATTAATTAATACAATAAAATTACTTTAAAAATTGATAAATAGATTCTTTTTTTTTATATACTCGGTCGGTAAAAATGTCACATTCACGTCCCCTTAATATTGACTTTATTTCAATTATTAATATCGGATCTCGTTGAATATAGACTAAAATACTCAAACAAAAAGAACGGTGTGAATAAAAATAAATTAACAAAATACGTAACAAAAAAAAAAAAAAAATTGAAAATAAAAATGAAATAAATAAAATGTGAAAAAAACTGAATTAAAAAATATTTTAAAATCAATTTCACGAGCAAAAATATTGCAAATAAGATTTTTACAGTGCAACGCAAATAGCAAAAAATATAAATAAATAAAATATATATTAATTAAAAATTAATTAATAATAACAATAATAATAATCGAATTAAAATGAAACCTAAACAGTGGCTACTCTGAGCTTGGTGACCACAGTAACCCAAGCAACTCCTGTTATTAATTTTTTTTTTTTTCTTTTCGATCAATAAAAAATGATATAACAAATAAAAATGAGCCCAATTATTTCAGGATTATATTACAAAAATTGATCGTTGTGGTCCTAATTATAATAGTCATAATTCCGTTGCCAGCAGACATTTTATTGTTTAATAAAATAAAATAAAAACGACATAATTTCGTTACTTGTAATTAATGTACGGCTGTGCGCGTGTTAGAGCATTATTTTAATGATAAATAATTATAATAGGTATAGGGGAGAAGGGTTAATGTGGTCAAAAAGAAAATAGAAATAAATTAAAACAAAAAAAAAAAAATTTTAAAGCAAGCAAAGCATTTGTATAAATAATTAAAATTTTCGCTTAAAATAATTAGTAAATATTTTATAAATAAAATAAAAGATATATGTTATTAAAGTTATAAAAAATTTTAAAAAATAAATAAATAAAATAAGTGTTGATTTTCTATATTATTATATAAGAAATCATAAATTGTTAAAAAAAAATTTGTTTAAACCAAAAAATTCAAGCCCTAGATAATTTTATTTATTTATTTATTACTACGTGATTAGGTGCATACTAATTCTGACTTATTTTAAACAGTTTTTATTAAACAATTTTATTTTAGTTACAAATTAAATAATATATTAATAATCATCAATTATTTATAACATGTTTTCATAGTTTAGTAAAGTCTGTTTAAAATAAATTTGAACTCTTCTATTTAATGAAGGAATTAGGCTTTGGGTAGGTTTTAAAAATGCATTAAAAGTGTTTTGAGTTAATTAATTAGTTAAATTAACTAATTAATAAATTAGTTATTTGAATTTAAAATTTAAAAAATAACTTTTTGTAAGTTTTGTTGGTTTATAGATTTTTTTTTTTCAAAATCAATTATTTAATCGAATGAAATTTTTAATTTAAATTAATATTCCAATTATTTTTTAATTCAAAAAATTAAATGAAAAAAAAATGATAATTGTATTTCAATTAGTGTGCATGTTTTGTATTGTGTTTATTTTTGTGTCATTTTCTATGTCACATATCAAATTAATTCATTTTCAAACACCATACACAGTAAATGAATTGTCAATACAATTTTGTATCAAACAAAAATCCCTAGAAAATTATCCAACAATTTATATTAATTATATTCATTAAATTTATCATTTCAATTCTTTTAATAAATTATATCATCCATTATTAAATCTAATTTAATTCTTTTATTCATATATAATTTTAACTTTAAAGATGTTTCAAAAACAAAATAGAAAATTGTAGGGACTTTTATTCAATTACCATCATCCGGTAAAATACAAGAAGAGAGGATAAGAAGTCAAGGAGAATTAAAATTCATTATTATTTCAAAGTGTTTGAATTTAAGCCACACAGACATAAGTACTCACTATTATTTGCCTGAAGATTTTCATGAAGTTTATCCCTCTGATCCTCCAAAACTTCACCCAAATAAGCAGCAACCTTTCTTGTTACCTGCTCGACAAATGTATCGAGCTTTCCCAGATCATCAGACAAGCCTACCAATTGATCTAGCGTGCCAACTTTTAGATCAGGAATATGAAATTTGTAATTAGACGACAATGATTGTTGTTTTGACGTCAAATTATTCATTGTTTCCCATGTTTGTTGGCATGTTTTATCACCAGGAGCTGATATTAACCAATATTCCGTCATCTTTAGGCTGGTTTAATTAATTTTCTTCAAATAAATCTGTAACAATCAAAGCCAACACATAAATAAACACATCTTACTATTTGTATTTTGTAAAATTAAATAAAAAAAAAACATCCCTATTTGACACTTTACCTCAATTTTGTTTTATCATGATTAAAAATCACTCCATTATGATAAAAATGTTAATTATTATCTATTTAAAGATAAAAATAGGTTATAATAGTTGAATTATTCATCAGAAAATTCAATATAAATATCCAGGAGACACTGGAAAATAATAAAACCCCTAGTGTGGGGGCGTGGCAATTGATTCAACATGATTAATTACGTAATAAACTAGTAATCCACGTGATCAAGTTGGTAAAATTTATAAATGGCGCGCGGAAATAACGTTATTATCAACATAGAATCATTTATAAAATACACCAAGTACAAATTTAACGTATATAAATGTATATAATACTAATATCAATCATTTTGCAATGCCCTTGGCTCAATTTCTAGTGAGAAAGACCTTATGATTCGATTGTCTGGGTGTCTGGATGGCGCCTGACGTCTACATTTATCGGCATAAGTAAAAATCAATAAAACAACTTCAATCTAAAATATTACAACCTTATGTCTGTAATTATTCTGTCACTTTCACATCAAATATTCATTTGAATCTTTTTAAATTCACTTTATTTATTCATTTCACGATAATCGTAGAGTAATAAGAGATAATTGATGGCTGTACAACAAAATTTACGTCTTTCTATATTGTTTGTAAATTAAGACTGGAGATAAATTAGTACTCTCTTTACCTGTGTTCCAGTGTTTAAGTTGACGGATATCCAATTGTAAGCGTTGAGATGATTGGAATACACTCGATAAGTAACACTTTTATTACTCTTTTACTCTTTTGTTAATGAAACCATTGCTCTCACGTGATGGAGTGTCGTTTTTTCGACCCGCCCGTCCCGAGAATTGTCGACAACTAAGCAAACTCAGCTGACTGCCACACGACGCCATTGTTGCCAACTTCACTGCTTTGCGCTTGTCTTCTCAAACCATCATTTCTACTTTTTCTACTACTGATAAAACAATTATTTTTACTTCTACAATAAATTTATCCGCATTTTTAAGCCTTATTTTATTTAATTATTAATTAAAAAAGTAATAAATTAAAATTCATTGTCTATTAAACATCATTTTTGAGGTAATTTAATGAAAATCACGTGAAAAAAAAATGGCTATCGGCTGCTCTATGCAAATAAATAGACGCCATGTTTGTTTTCCACGTAATGTATTTGCTGACGACTTTAGACGTGTTCATGGTTTTTATCAATATTTTCAATGATCAGCAAAGATTAGATATTGTACAACTGTGAATTGTTGTAAAAATTGTTTTTTCAATTATAACAAATCCATTTTCAATCATGTTGAAAGCTGTTATCCTTATTGGTGGGCCTTTAAAAGGTAAACAAAATATGACTAAACAGGTAAACCATTGTTAATTGTTTTTTAAAATAATTAATTATTTATTTTTTCCAGGCACTCGTTTTCGTCCACTATCTCTAGATATTCCTAAACCACTTTTTCCAATTGCTGGACTGCCAATGATCCAACATCACATCGAAGCATGCCGAAAAATTCCAAATTTAAACGAAATTCTTATCATCGGTTCATATTCAGCTGGAGAACTTCAATCTTTTGTCCAAGAAATGATGAATACATATGGAATAAGTATCAGATATCTTCAAGAATTCACTGCTCTTGGTACTGCTGGTGGCATGTATCATTTTAGAGATCAAATAAGAGCTGGAAATCCAGAGGCATTTTTTATCATGAATGGAGATGTCTGTGCTAATTTTCCTCTACAAAATATGCTTGAATCTCATCGAAATTTATCGGCTGAACTTACAGTATTGACTACGGAAGCAACTAGACAACAATCTTTGAATTATGGTTGCTTAGTTTTGGGGAAAAAAAATTCTATTGTTCATTATGTTGAAAAACCATCAACTTTTGTGTCAACGTTGATCAATTGTGGAGTTTATCTAGCTTCTTTAGACATTTTTCAGATCATGGCTGATGTTTATTATGCTAGACAAGACGTTGACTATTGCGCGTAAGTTAAAGATTAAATTAAAATTAATATTTGTATTATATTTATTTGACTATTTATTAATTGATTTATTTTTAGGTTAATTAAAAAATACAAAGATTCATAATTAAATATAATTTTAAATTAATCTTGAATGATTATTTTTGATATTATTTATATAAAAACCTTTTAAATGAAGGAATTATTTAACTTTTTTATAGACAAAATAACAATAATGGCAAAGATCCAGCACACATTTCATTAGAGCAAGATATTCTAACACGTTTAGCCGGCACAGAGAAATTATTTGCTTGTCAAACATCCAACTGGTGGTCTCAAATAAAAACAGCAGGCTCTGCTATTTATGCTAATCGACATTATCTTGATTTATACAAAGAAAAACAACCAGACCGATTGGCTTCTGCATCTAATGCTAAATGCCATATTATTGGAGATGTTTACATTCATCCAACTGCTATTGTAGATGCTTCAGCTGTGGTAATTATCAATTTAAAGAGACTCTGCTATTGACAAAGTAGTATATTTTAATTCTATTTCATGATAAAACATAGAAAAAACGTGAATTATTTTTATAAATTGGCCAAAAGAGTAAAGAGTGGCCTGAAGAAAATAATTCGGTTAATTTATTTAAATATTTAGATGTAGATCATAATATCAATTGTCTTACATCTTCATTGTTGTTAATGAATTTATGAACAATAAGCTAAACTTCATTTAGGTTGATACTTTATTGTTTATGTATGTCCATATAAGTTTTGATAGATGTATTTAGATCTTAGTTCTATCATTTAATAATCTTTAACATTTTTTTAGCTTGGTCCTAACGTCAGTATTGGTGGAAATACAAAAATATCTGCTGGAGTACGAATTCGTGAATCAATTGTTCTGGCAGACGCTCAAATTCAAGCACATTCTATGGTCTTACATAGTATTATTGGACGTAAAAGTGTCATAGGAAAATGGTCAAGAGTTGAAGGGACTCCATGTGATCCAAATCCTAATAAACCATTTGCAAAAATGGAAAATCCTCCATTATTTAATACAAATGGGAAATTAAATCCATCAATATCAATTCTTGGTACAAGTGTTCATTTAGCAGCGGAAAAAATTTTACTTAATTCTATTGTTTTACCTCATAAAGAATTAATGAGAAATTTTAAGAATGAAATTATTTTATAACCATGATATTTATTATAAAAGTGCAATAATTGAAGTTAATTAAGGTAAACGGTCCAATTGATAATCATTAAAGGCATTAATTAATTTTTATTTTTTTTTTTGTTTTTTATTAAAGATGAATTATTTTTATAATTATATTCATTAATAGTTTTTAAGATGGAACTTTTTAAAAGTCTGAATATTTTTAATGAATTTTTTAAAAATAAAGTAAAATTTATTCATCAAAATAATTATCTTCCAAAGTATTTTAGTTTGAAATGCATAATAAAATTGGTCCAATTACTTTAATTTGATAAAAACTATTTAATAATTAAACAAATTGATAATAATGTCAATTTATAAATTTTTTTATATGTGAATTTTGTAGTTAATTCATTCGCACAAAAGTTTATATAAATCAAAGATTTTAAATTAATAAAAGGTTATTTTTAAAATTTGCCATAAATTATTAAATAATTATTTATAATTTATACTTTCTAAATAATAAAATACATAAAGAATAAGTATCCCAGATGCACCTGGATTTAAAATATTTACCCTGAAGGCGAATTTATTTATCGTAGGAGGTTAGTTTTGCAAATTCCTCACTAGTGGCGCTGCAAATCACGATTTCTTTGCTTTTGTGTAGTGCTTTTGTATTTTATATGTAGCTAAAAGTCCTTTAATTGTATTTGTGTACGATAAAATAGTCCTGTCGAATCAACAGGTAGTGCGAATTCTTCTCTTATAATTTATCATGTTTTTCATCCCCAAATAAACTCTAAAAATGCGTAAAAAATAGTGCTTTTATGTTAAATTAATGTTTAATTTGTTGTATAATTATTTAGAAAGGTTTAATGAATTGAACAAAAGTAGAAATAAAGCCTTACAGGATTGCTGGAGCAAATTCTTTAGATTCCACTGCTGGTCCAGGTTGACCAGCAGCATCCAGGTTAAGAATGTCACTTGAGTGATCTCGTCAATGACACGTGAAGAATGCGGTGAGTATTTTATATTTGAGCTACATTTACAACAATTACTTATCGTTAGTAATGATTGTGACCTCAAGAAATCAAGTTAGTTCATTTCTTTAAAGTTATTTGGTGAATAAACAATCCCACTGTGTCATTTGAATCCACAGTTTTTCAATTTTTGGAGTAAAAATTGTTGATAAAAAATATTTTATAAAATTTAGCTGATGTTAGTTAATTATTCAAAAGCTAAATAATGGATAATTTTGAGTAATATGATTTTTAAATTTGTTTAGCAGACTGTTGTTCATCATTTGACATTGCTGAAACGACCTACTGGATGATCCCAATGGCCCACGGAGGCCCATTATGGCCCAGCATCAGCAACTACAACAACAGCATGAATTTCTACCACTTTGTGATGTTTTATTCAACATAATTTCTCTGGCATCTTATTTCTGCGATGTCGTTTTTGATCTGGCAATGGGTTATGCCCTGGCCAACTATTCTTCAGCACCATCAGTGTTATTTCCACTGACTATTGTACTTGTAGTCACTTCTCTATTAGTTTCCCAGGTAATTTATCATTTTCAGCTTTTCAATATTGTGTAAATACCTGTGAAAATTTTTAAAACATTGTGCCATGTGATATTAGTTAATACTATTTGGTGAACCCTAGACAAAGATGAAGGACAGGTGGGGTTTTTTTAAAATCTAACTAGAATTGCATCAAAACTTATTGCTGAAGTAGGTATTTAAAATGGATGTAAACAAATTTATCATTCAAATAAAATATAAAACTACTAAAAAAAACTTAGTACTGGACAAACTTTTATTTTACTCATCAGGTTACTAAAAAGCATACTAAATAATTTCAAAGTGATTTCAACGAAATCAAAAAGTTTTCTACTTACAATCTAGTGTGCTTTTCATTGACCTGATGATCAAAGGCAGGGTTAAGTAAACTTTGGCTTAATCACCTTTGACCAAAGGTTCAACTGTCATTTTTAGCTTTTCTCATTGCAAAAGACTTGAATAAACAGAAAAACTTTAAAAGATATTATTTTATAAGATCTTTATATTTAATTGTTTTTTTAGTCTTTACCATTTCTTTCCTTTTTTAAGGATAGCAGTAAATATCTCTAGACTAAATTATTCAAAACACTTAGATGGAATAAATTTAATCTGTAATTGGAATGTTTTTATTAATAAATTTAAAGTAATCAATTTATTTCAACAGATTGTGAGTATGAGATGGTACTTATGGGGTGCAAGAGGCAAATTAACACTCCCTGTCGAGTCTCCAACTCCAACAAAATCAAGATTCAACACCTGGACTGTCTGGTGTGTGATTTTTCTCCATACAACTCAAATCGGTGTGCTATGGCGATACTTCAAACTTTTCATACCAGTGGACTTGGCTTATGTAAAGCACGAAGTACGCGAGTTATGTGTGTTACGTTTAATTCACGCATTTTGCGAAGCAGCGCCAATGTTGCTGTTGCAATTGTACTTACTATCAATAGGAATAAGTGGAAATGCAATAAAAGAAGTAAAAAGAGCATCAGAGATAGCAGAAGATGACAAATTAAGAGAGCTTACTGCAGTTTCAGCAGGTTTATCACTTTGGAGTGTCTGCTGGGCAGTAGCAAGCTTCAGCAAAGGCGCAGCAAGACTGAGAAATTTGGAAAGACTTGTTTTAACATGGTTAGGAGTTTTAGCCCAGTTAGCATGGAGACTTGGAACTGTAAGTGCAAGAGTTGGTGCTCTAGTGGCATATGCATCTCTTTATGGAGGCCAATGGCTACTTGTTGTGCTTGCTCTACATTGGCTATCGATGCTTACATGGCTTCTACTTACTCCAGATGGTCTTTTCCATGGTGGAGAACGTCTTTCATTTGGACGTAAAACTTTTTTAGCATCATTACTTGCATTTGTCTATGTCTTCGCTTATGTGAATCTTCACGAAACGAATCACCGACAAAAGATGATCATTTTTTACACTGTGATGTTCTTAGAGAACTCTCTATTGATTGGGGTATGGGTTGCTGGTGTACACGGCCAAGAGATTCAACCTCATCATTTTAGACCTTTTGTGATGGTGCTAATTTTATTCGCTCTGTTTTTTGGAGGTCTGAGTTTTATGGGCCTCTATTACAGATTTTTTCATGTCAGAAGACTCCGGTACGAATCCGGTGGTCGAATGAACGTTAATAGTTCTCGACAATGTCCGAATTCAGACATTAGTGATGAGAAAATAACATACGATGAAAAGCTTACAAGTTTGTCGACAAGACAAAGGAAAGTTAAGCTTGGTAATAATGGAATTCCTGGTGTTTTCAACTGCAGATTTGCTAATCCAACTGTTGTCAATCCCAATAGAAAGAAAAAAAAACCAACAAGCTTTGTGCCACCTCCTACGACGAATTTAAATGGATTCAATGAAGCCAAGCAGATTTCAATGCATGGAAATTCCAAACAATTGATTCCTTTTTGGAAAAAACCTATAGCTGGAGATGAAGATACTTCTAATGGATCCATTGGTGCTATTGGAACGCTTAATGTTAATTTAATTAGAGAGAAATTAAGAGAAAAGAAGCAACAACAGCTCAGAGAACTTCGTGCCATTCAAGAAGAAATTAAAGAAGGCAAATTAGTGCCACCACCTTCGGCATCAACTTCTTCATTCTCTTCTGCACTTTCTCAAACCAAGGCCAATCATCCTCCACCCAACACCAAACTACACACTTCACCAAATCAAACTTCAGTGATAAATCAAGTTCAGAGTGATGTTTTGCTTAATCCTTGGCCACCAGTTAAAATGCACTGTCTCTTACCTCCAGTTCCATCATCGTCGTATCATCCTCTTATGTTACCGGGTAGTTCTTGGAGAGGTTCCAGGCCAGAAACACCAGAAATTTTACTTGCACCTAGATGTCTTCCTCATCACTATCCTCATTGGATCGCTTCCGATCATCGGTGGGTTTAATTGTTGTTAAAAATATGATGAGATTTGATTTGGGTAAGCACACTAGTAGATGGACAGATAAAATTAGATAAAACATTTTAATATTTTATTGATTAATCGGATTTTAAATCAAAACTAAAAAATAGTTTAATAGACTTCAATTTTTATTTTTTTATAATTTTAATTATTTATTCATTTTTTGAGAGGTGTCCATCTGGTGATAGATTTAGCTTAGATCAGTGTTATGAGATTTTTAATAAAATCTGATGAAGTCTAGTTTAAAAGCTTATTTTTATGAGATATGATACAATCTAATCAGATTTGAATAGATCTAGGATTTTATTGTATTAAATCTGTCTAAGATTGTAATTAAATTTCGCCAGATTTTGACCAATCTGATATCAGATTTATCCAAATCCAATAAGAATTTACTTTAAGAGTCTAGTTACTAGGCTTCGAAAGAAGTAAAAATTGAAATTTTTTTTGGACATCTACCGAAAAAAAAAACTCTAAAAAGTTTATTGGTTAATATTTAAAAAAAAAAGCGATATATTATTTATAAAAAAATTAAATATCTCGAAAACTATTTATCGTAGAGAATTGAGACTGGTTTTATTTTATTCTTCATAAAAATCTCTATAAATTATATAATACATGTCTTGATCTCTGATGTGTCGTTTTCGAAATATTAATTGAAAAAGGTGTGAAAAAAGCTTCCTTTTTATAATCAAAACAAAAAAAACTTCATGTAACATATGGTCACAAATGCTTTTCCAAACTTTGTCATTCATGTGCAGATTGGCTTTGGGAACAATGGTGATAAAGATTTTTAGTATGAAGGAGAAAAAAGTTGTTTTTGAATGTTAACATTTAATATGATATTAAACACGTCTCATTATATTAAGAATATCATAATAGTGATCTAATAAAATCTAAAATTTTCTACTTTGGATGATAGATGATACAAAAATGGAGTACAATGAATGATTTGTTAATAAAAGCTATTTACTGAATAATTTTCAGGTTGCGGTCGAGTCAAAATAATAACGAGGATAGCTCGAAGGAGCCAGGAGAAGGCGAAGGTGAATTATCAGATATGGAAGGAAGTCAAGTGTCCTTACCGCGAAGTTACACACTGCCTCGAGAGTTTAAATATAACAATGTAAACAATTTCGTTCGTGAACGACGTGTGAATATGGGTAAAACACAATCTTCACGTTTTTATTTACCTTCAACCAACAGTTCTGATGGTAAGAATTTATTAAATATGTAAATATAAATGAAAGTATTGAATTAATTATAAACAAATAAGTCAGCGAATACAAATGAAATAAATATTTAAATAAACGCGGGATATTTAAATTTTATTTTTTATCATTAGGTGATGTTGATAGTGCTGACAATGAAGACGAAACGGATTCAGAATTGCAGGGAGATGCAAAGTATGAACAACACTTGAACCAAGACGACATTTTTCAGAGACGGTTTAATTTTGTCAATGGAGGTGAAGTAGGCGATGGTACGAATACAAATAACGCAGACACTGAAACGGTTAAGTCGATGGAAGGAAGCTTAGGTTGTTATTTGAATAATTCATACGGCTCGAGAGTCAATCAATTGCTCAAAGCTAAAGTAAAGCATGAAACTAAATTGTGAACTGATGGTTCTTCTTTCATTATTTTTTATCTCTCAGATATCACCACGAACGCTTTTAGTAGATTAAGAGAAAATTATAAGACTGGACAAATGAATAAAAGCCATAAAATGTAGATTGGTTGGTTCAATAAAAAAAAGTTGTTTTTTTTTATTGACAATCAAAAAAATCAAATATCCGTCCATTGACGTAAAAAAGAAGAATTATTTTACACAAATTAGTTGAGTTACCTATTCATTCAATATATTTTAGAAAAACTATTTATGATTAGATGTTGTTTTAAAGTTGGACTGAATTCAAATTTTTAATCAGAAAAAAAAGAAATTATTTTCCACAGATTATGGTGGTAATAATAAATATTTTGTGATAATTCAAGTTCTAATTGTAAGATAGTACATTTTTTTTCATGCATTACATATAAAAAAAATTTTTTTCTATCAAAATTCTAAAGGTTTTTGGTGAATCTCACTGTCATTAACTGTTCATTACACAATAATTTATTATAAATTCATTATTGTATTTATGTCACAAAAACTTGTGTATACAATTTTGCAGATGGTTGATGAATATTTTTGCGTAATGAAACATTAATAAATAAATTATATTCTGAGGAAAAAAAATCGAAGATAGTAATAACGCTAATACAGTTGAGCTTTGATGGATTTTTAGGGCGATTTCTATGTTAAACAATTGTCTAAAGAAAATTTTAGAAATGAAATATGTAGATAATTTCGACTTTTATTACTTAAATTATAGAAAAGTTTTAAAAGCATATGGTCGAGATTAAATAAATGACATTTAAAAATTTTAAAAGTGAAAAAAGTATTACTACTGATAAAATGGATATTAAAAATTGTTTAAAAATGTCGATAAATGTAATTTGATAATAAGTTAACTGATGATTATTAACATTTTTACATGAATAGTTTTTCCTGAATGGCATTTAAACTGTTTTTCTACTTTTCTAGCAATGATAATTCAATGATATTTTATAATTAAATATAATAGAATAATATAGATTTTTTTACACAAAGTATTTAAAAGAGAAGAAAATAAGTAGTCTAGTGGGAGAAAAATATTTACATAAATAAAGTTAAATTTTGTAAATAAAAATGAAATAAAATTAATGTGAAACCGAATTTTATCTTAAAATGAATTACATTCATTATCTGATATTTGATAACAACTAGTAAATTAGTGCGAAACTCTGGCACATAGTAGAGTAAAATTGATTGAATAGAATTCTTCCGTTTAATTAGGATTTGGTTCAGAGATACGTAGATCGAAATCACGATTTACGGAATAAAAAGTACTAAAAAAAAAAAAAGAATAAAAATTAAATAGAAAAACAAAAACTATAGATAAATCATGCTCTAGTGGTTGATACAATTAACTTTTGAAGTTTATTTTTGTTAATAATTTTTATTTTTTATTAATTACTATTGTCTTTTTCTAGTAATTTTTTATTTCAAATATTGCAAAAAATGATTGCATCATTATGGAAATTGACTGCTTTAATAAAAAATTTTAAAAGACATCTAGGAATTTTAAAGTAAAAATATAAATGATTGTTTCAATTATTTTCTTTTTAATAATTTAGAATAAAAATGGTAGGAAGATGATTTTTTTAATTATATTGGCATAAAGATGGTCTGATTTTTGTCAAAATAAAGATGATGTCTTAATTTATGTCCGAATTGTAAAGAAAAATTCTTAAATCTACATGTTAATTTCTTTAAAAATATTTTTAATAATAATTTTTAATGTTTTAAAACCAAAAACTACATAAAAAATTATATTCTTCATAAGTTAATTACATCAGACTAAAGCACAGGTATGACTTTAAAATTCTATGCTGTCAATTTTCTAGAGTTATGTTTATCATCAAGAATTAATTTTTATCAACTATATTATAATGAATTAATAATATTTAAATATTATTATTATTATTATTTTGTGTAAACAATACTTTTGTTACCATGATTACAGTTAAATCATTTTTTAAACGATAATTATTCGAAAGAAGAATAATATTTATAAATTCTTTTAAAAAAAAAACGATTTTTTACTGTTATTAACAATATGTGATTGTTGTTCATGCCATGACCAATCAACAATTGTATCTTATTTCAGATATTATGTAAAGTCTAGTTAAATTCATACCAACATCTAAAACATTATTTATATTTTTCTAAATTCTTACAATTTGTTTTAAAAAATTATCATCCAATTTTCTCAAATGAAAATCTTTTATATTATTTTCTTAAAATGAATCATTGGAAATTCAGAGTTTAAAATTATAATAATAAAAATTAATTCAAACAATTGAAATAAATCAAAAAATAATAATTCAAACATTAATGATTTTATGTAAATATAAGACATTAATTATATTATTGTCTTAAATAATGTGATAGTTTTAAAGAAAAAATTAACTGCTGGAAGTGATTTATTTAAACAACAACTGGACTAAATCACCCCAAACTCTAATGTTACCATGTCATTGTCAATACCCATTGATTGACACCTCAGCGAATACAATATCATTTTTTTTTTCGCAAGTTATTGTTCCGGAAAAATGTGTCCACATACATTGATATACACCCACGTTTGAATATTCACATAAAAATAGTCACAAATGATTTGAAAAATTTTCTAATACATGAAAATATGTTTAAACTTGCTATTTCAATTCTTAAACTCAGGATAAATAATAAAACTCCTTTTATAGATTGACAAAAAGAGAAAACTGAATATAAACGTAGCCAGGGGATAAAAAAAGAAAAATTTGAGTGAGAGGGATCTGATTGGAAGGACAAGAGAGGCACAAAATCGGTGATTTACGGTAGAGTACCTGGGATCTGTTGGCACGGCAAGTTCACTTCAATAACGCAAATGTGTGTAAGTGGATTGATACACACAAAACATTAGAGAGATGCTTCTATAACTGATAGCATAACGTCTATAGCCTATAACATACAGCCTATTTCATATACACAGACTGTGATAAAGATATACATAGTTCCAGATCCCACTTGGTTTCCATGCCTCCATGATTCTCTATATGCCCGTACATGTACATACATACATCAATACACTAGTATCCATGCGTATGTATATAACTTTACTACCACCAGTATCAACCATTCTGACTATAAAGAGTCCGTAGTAGCTGCTATGGATACTAGACACTAGTAGAGACTATTACTGCCACCAGCAATAAGTTTGTATCCCGCAGGAAGGTACTCATCCATGTCCTGCGGGCATTGACTATTGATCAGGAACTCTCTAGTAGAGAACACTTGACGTTTTAGCTCAAATTCTATTGATCTTGAGTCATTCTTCTAATCTTTTATATCATTTTTCTAGCTTTTTTGTGCTATTTTTCATGAACATCTTCTAACCTTCTTCATTCTTTCATTTACTTTGGAATTTAATCTTAAAAAATGAAGAAGTAAATATTGATGAATTTTTATTAATTAAATCATTGCTAAATATGACAATGAAAATAAATAGAATTATATTAATACTTTGATATATTTTTAAACTCATTCCAGAAGTGTTATTTAATACTATCAAGCTACTGTTGATGACTGGATAACTGTAATCATCAAATTACCTTGAATGTAGTTTTGTTTTTGGATTAATCTCCAAGTCAATAAATATTCGTACACTACTAAAAGAGATTTGTGATGGTCAATAAGATTTTTTAACTGTTAAATAATATTTTGTTGCCATAAAAGAAATTTTTGCAGCTATTAAAAAAAAGGTTCACAATAGAGTCTATGGATTTTTAACTCTATTTTGTTTCAACTGATTTAGATTAAAATTATTTTACATTCTTTACATAATTATTATTAAAATTGTTGTTGATGATTATTTAGTTGATTATAATTCTGGTTAAAAATTTTATAGTTGGAATTAATGAATTTCATTATTTTTAATATAAAAATTACTCATTTTTTCATAACTGATGTTTTTTAATCTTACAAAAATTACTTTCTTTATTTAATGTATTATTTTTTAATACAAAATCTCTTTTATTAGTCGATATATAAACTATTGAAAAATTAACAAAGAACATTAGAGTAAAGTATGGGAATTCTTTTAAGGTTAAGAATTCAAAATTTTGATGAAAAGTTTTTTTAATAACAATCAACATCATTGAATTCATTTATAACTTAAACACACGTCTAATTTATTCATTAAACACAACGAAATTAATCCATACCTTTCTCTGTCATGGCAAAATAAATCCTAGGTTAAGGTTGAAAATTGCAAAATTGCATGAACGTAACCGAAGTTTACCGAAAACTCTCGAAAATAATTTCTCCCACTCTATGAATCCACCCTTCTCTAGATTATTCACCAAAAAATGGGTGGAGCTTGGGCTTTATAGAAGAGGAAGTGGATGAATTTCCCCTTAAACTTGTTGTAGTCTATTTTACCCCTTCGATCCTCATGATCCTTTGTCTGTTCCTTTAATTCTTGTAGAGTGGGAGTGAAGACTGACCCTACAGGCTTCTTTCAATAGCTTCATCTTGCCTGTTAAATTCCTTCTAGTACACCTGTTCTAACCCTTTTTGACACTCCCTTTAAAGAGAGAAAAAAGAAACACGAAATTTCACGCTTTGCTACCTCACTCTTACATCACAGAAAGCCAAGGCTTCTATTACTCTCCTTTTTCAAAATTATTTTACCATAAAACCTCCCTTTAAAATCAGAGAATTACGTACTTGTGAATGGACCAGCATCAATGTGACAATCAATAAACTTTGAACCCCAACCCTTGTTGTACTTCAATGTCCAAGTATTTATTTACAATCAAAGTTAGTCTAATTTATGAGTAAATCATTAGTATTACCTTTGAAAAAAAAAATGGTGCAAATGACTCGGCAGCGTCGTTATTATAATTATCGTAACGTAGAGTATCGGAGCGTGGGAATTGACTCTGGTGAAGGATAAGAGAGCGGTGAGAGGTTCACAATGACGTGGTGGAGAAAGGGAGGATAATGTTACAGCGCCACTGTAGTAGAAAATGGAAGGTGTGTGTGTGTCGGTGTAGTGTGAGAGAAACAACGGAATAGCGAGTGAGGGCGCTCGCAGTGACTTATAAGAGGGAGGAGGGCGCTAGTAGCGGGGGAAGCCGTGGGTCCAGGCCAAGCACAACCGGTCCAACTGCCGCAGTTGTGAAGACGTGGTGACATTAATCGGTTATTTTTTGTCATTTTACAACGTCACAGAAACCTCTAAAATAGCTAGGACCAACTAAAAATCAATTATGGAGTCGAATTGACGTTAATCTAAATAATAAATAAAACTTATATGGAAGATAATAATAAATATTTGTGCGGCATTGGAGTGGAATTAGTTGTTTTCTGAGTTCCGGGAGATGTCGGAAACTAGACGAAGTTCATCGATGAGGAAGTGAAAGGTGTGTAGGTGGAAGAGGAGCTGTAAAATCGTGATGAGGATTGTGTCACGTATTGAAAACGAGTACTACGAGTACCGTGGCACTTATGGAGATCGAAAGGGCCTCCTTATCTCTCTTACTACGTTCTTGAGAAAAAAAACGACGCGGTGGCACGACGACTGGACTGGTGGCCTGACAAGACGAAAGAGACCGGCGTCGTCGTTGTGGTCGTTAACCGGCACTCAAAGAGATCTTAATATTCCATAAGGAATTATTTTATATTGAACAAATAAAATAATCTTATTCTGTAATTATTTTTCCATTTTCTCATCCAAGTAATTGTTTAATACAATTTACTTTGTACTTATTGCAAGGAGTACTTTTTTCAATGTTGATGAAGAATTAATGACATTGTTGTCAACTTTTTTGACATTTTTAATATATTTTCAGAGATTTTTGAGGTTATTGTTGGATTCATGTGGTAATAAAACCTCGAATTCTCAAGGATTTTAACATTATTACATTATTCATGCTAAATTGCATGATAGTATGGTAAAATTTGATTATTAATAGTCCTGAAATTGGTAATAATGCTAAATAGATAATCGTGAAATGTTTTAAAAATGGCCACGATATTTTTCAGTGAATTTTTACGGATGATTTATCCTTGGGGTTAGAAGTATTGTGGTGATATTTCTAGGAAAAGAAAAAATGTTTCAATTCATGTCCAAGTGATTTTAGTGATAGAAATAAAAGGTCAATAAAAGTAATAAGTCAAGAAAAATTTTAAAACAGTGTTTTGATTGATGATTTCTTCTTATTTTTTTATTTTGTATCAAGTGAAAGTTTTTCTGTGATGTGTTGGTCATTATTTTTTGTCTTTTCTTTTGCAAAAAAAGTAATAATATTTGCTAATTGTCGAAAAAATATTAATTTTGGGTGAAAATAAGTGAAAAGTGAATTTTATTAATTGATTAATTAAAGTGGATTTGATTATCATACAATTGATAGAGGGGATTTTTTTTATTTATCAAAGGTGTGGAAAATATGCTGAAGTTTTTAACGCACAAATTAAGGACTCACTCGATTAACGAGGATCCGAATCAAGAAAAGGTTTGTAGAATATATTTTTCAAAAAGTAATTATTCCTTATTTAATTATAAGTAGTAAATAATGACAAATATTTTTTGTTTTATTTATTTTATTTTTTTTTAAATTTAATTTTAATGGATAAAATGATTTTAATAATTCTCAAAGACTTTATTTTTTTAATTAGAAATAACAATAAATAAAAAGTAATTCTCGTTTCCCAGAATTATTTCCGCACGATTAACACATGAGAATTTAAGTAATCTCTTTCTACATCCCCTTGTCCTATTAACTTGTACGTGAGCTTTTTAAGTATCATGATCTTTCTAAAAGTGTTTATTATTATTTAAATAATTTTTTCAATTAAAACTATTAATTTTACTCCCTTTTTTTTTTTTTATACTACTGTATATAACAACCACTTCCTTATCCTTCAATTATAATTTTATTTTTATTTCAATTATTTTATATTTTAATAATTTTATATTAAAAATAAAATAATCTGAATATTTTCTATCAAATAATTACAATTTTCTGTTTTGTTTAAAAAGTTTCTAGTTATAAAACCTTGATGATTTTTTATTTATTTAAACTTTAATATAAAGTTAATTTTTTTTATTTTTATAATTAATTTATTAAAATATTTTTGTTTTTTTTTTCATTAAAAGAAAAGAAACGTGAAAAATCGAAGTTACAAAAGCAAAGTTTTTCTATCTTTAATAAATTAAAATAGAAAAATATATTGAAAAGAATTTTATATAAATACAGAAGGAAAAAAAAAAATAAAATCCCTAGAAAAAAAGATGATAAAAGTCCATTAAATACCGCTAAATTATTATGCAGAGGCTGTCCCTCTTTAAGGGAACATTAAAAAAGAATTGATTTTCCCAAGTTTGCCCGAGAATAAAGGAATAAAAGCATCGTCAAAGGTTTCCCAAGTTGCCATGTTTTTAGGACAGGTTAACGAACGAGCAAACGTTCGCAGAACGGTGTAGTAGTCACCACAACGGTCATACTCTAGGGGCTGAGAGGAGGAAAAAGAGAAGAGAATGAGAGGGAGGTAAAGAGGAAGAGGCAAGAGAACTGCGAGAGTTTTGTAGGGATTTTTTTTCTTTTTTTTTCGAGTAATTTTACGTAAAATCTGAAAGCGCCCTCTGCGCAGGTGCATAAATTCCTAATTATGCAAATAAAAAATGCATATGCAGATATAAACTTTCTTTCTCGCCCTACTGTTGTATTTTCCGATGTTATTTCATTATTTATCTTAAAGAATAACACATGTACTAGGAATGTTTGTCTGGTAATTTTTATTTAATTAAGAATCCCATAAAAATCTAGGGATTTTTGGTCATTTTTATTCATTAGGTATTTTTATTTTTCTAGCAAATAGTAGATTTGGGGGTAGTTTAAAAAGTTATGTATAGAAATATTAATTAAATCATTATAAAAATATGTTATTTTTCTTTCGTGTCTTAACTAAAGTTCGACCATTTTCCCTTACTTCTTTTTTACCTTATCGGTCTTTTTTTTTACTTTTATTTTTCTCTATAGATAGAAATAGATATCGTCATTGACTTCAATAGCCATATCGATTCGTTGTATTCTTTGTTACAACCAAGAAAGACCAAGACCTGGCTATTGGGGTGGGTGCATTATCGTATGTTCAACCACGCTTATCAAGATCTACGTTCCAATAAATCCCATTAATTGTCATACCTTTCTTAATATCTTTTTTATTTTGTAAATTTGATTTATTTCGCATCTCTAATCATTTTTAAATACTTTTGCAATTATTTCTACATTATATTTTTATTGTATAATAACCACATAAAATGTGTAATTTTTTTTAATGTGTTTTATATAAATAAAATTAACAGGTATTTTATCCAAAGGCTTCTCGAATCATCACTTCATATAGAAAAGCTATTAGTATTATTTAAAAAATAATTGATACTATTTGAATAATTATTAAGACTAGGATTTCGAAAATGACTGCGTTTTATTATAAAAAATGATTTTATTAAATTTTAGTGTTTTATTTTGAAACATTAAAAGTGTTTTAATATTACGTTACCCATTTAATTAACATTGTCTTGATTTTAAAACGTTTTTAAGCGATAAAATTGCAAATTGGCTTATAAATGAATTATTTCCTGACTCTTTGGGATTTTCTAGAAAGAAACCGAAGTACAGCCCAGTCTTAACAATAAAAAAAACTCCTGTACCTGTAAAAAATCACTAGAAATGAAATGTCACTAAGATTATAAGAAAATTCCCCAGAAATACTGGAATTATTTTGAGCTAAGAACATTGTTATAACATGAAAAGAAAAAAAACATCGGAAATTTGGGTATATTAATTTATAAAAAAACTAATTTATTTAAATGCCAAAAGTGTCATTGATTTTGATGCATGAATAAGTGTAATTTCCAAAGAATTGAGTAATGTAATAACTTATTTAATTCCTCACTTTGTTTAATTTTTCAGGTGGATGATGATCACGATTCGGGAACTGAATCAGATGACGAGTTTCAGGATGGCATTGGAATTACAAATGACCTCTCAAGTCGTAAGTACTCTTGATCTTTTTTCTAATCATCAAAATAGGGAAAAATTATTTTCGGACATTGCTTCATATTTTCACAAAAAATTAAATTTATTTTTGATGCTAAAAAAGGAGCATGAGTTCACTGTGTACCACAGGACGAAAATTAAACAATATAAAAAATAAAAATCATTTTTGCTTGTTAATAACAAATTGTAACAATATTTTGTCGTTAGAAAGTAATGCAAAGTCATTTGCAAAAATATTTAATTAACAATAACCAAATTTATTTTCAATACTGTCTGTAATTAAAGCAGAAAAAAAATCTGTTGTAATTGCAATAATTATCTGTAAAAGATAAAAATAATTATCTGATCAAATGAAAGTTTATAACAATAATCACTTCAAATTATTTAAATAAATTATAACAATTGTTATAATTGACTTCTTAAACTTAAAATCATTTCAAGTGCATTAGAAAAAAATAATTATGTTAATCAAAAGTGTGACGTCATATTTAAAAAATTTCCCTTCGCTTGATGTTTTTTAAAATAAAAATACCTACAATAGTTATAGATTTTTTAATTAAAAAATAAATAATGTATAAAAATAAAATTTTCTCGAAGAAAATAGTTATGAAATAAAATAGCAGCAAATGGAGATTTACTACAGTAGAAAAGAGTAAACAATTTAATAAAAAATAAGCATAAGAAAAAGAGAAAAAAAAAGGTAGAATGGAGCATAAAAATAATAGAATGCAGTAGATAGTTTGTGGATTGACTTGAAAATGTTTCCGATACTTAAGGAGTAAATATTTCCGTTTGGGTGGAGCATGCATAACCAAGTGTTCAGGGAAACACATAAGGTATTGCTACGGTTCTGTAGACGTGGATATATATTTTACGTTGAACGCACGCAGAGCTTTATAGTCGTAATATTTCAAGTACGAGTGAGATACTCTGATAATATTTAAAACGTTCCTCACACGAGCTCTCTCGTACGTGCTTCTTCTTTAAAATCCCTCACTTCTTATATACATCTCTTGTGAATTGCACGGATAACAATCACTTCTCATTGTTGTGGATCGTTTGAGAACATTTTAATTGTCTCTAAATTGGTATCACTAGTTACATATCTCGGTACACATTTTTCTAATAATCTGACATCATGTTTATTCTCAGGAATATTTTTTTTAATTTATGTAAAATACGAAATCCCCAGATAGAAATATTTTTATATTTATTCTGTCAAAATATTGGTTTATATCATTTAATTTATAGCTTTTTTCTTTTACAATTAATGAAAGTGAACACAATTTTAAAGACACCTTCTTCTATTTGAAGAAAACAAAAAAAATTTTTAAATAAATTAAATGAAATCCCGAGGACTGTATTTTTTTTTTCTAACTATTATTATAATTTTTTTTAATCCTTCAAATTTAGATCTTTAGAAAAAAAACCTCTTTTCATAATTAATTAAGAGAATTGTAATAAAAATTTAGAAATACTTTATCAACATTTAAACAGAATTAAAAGTCATTCTAATGATCTCCCTATCTATTAAAACTCATGACTTATTGTCAAGCAAAGAGATACAATTACAAAAACCGTTCGTGTAATTATAATTAAATATTTATAATATTTTTTCTTTTATAAAATCACAGAGATTACAATTCAATAATGATAATAACAAAAAAATTATTTAAAATTACCATAAGAAATACAAAAAAACAATAACTGAAGAATACCAAATTAAATCGACCAATTAGAAAAAAACGTAACCATTTTATTCGTTCGTCGATTGGTCAATTTTATTTTTGAATTTTCGAAATGAATAAAAATAAAAATTAAATAATATTTTATGTTGTTAACTTGAGACAACGTGCGTTGTATTTCTAGTTAAAACTATTTGTCTTTCTCCACAGTTTGTATAAAAATGTAATATGTTTATAACTTTAAATATTTTTTTTTAATTTAAAAATAAGTTTCTTTCTCTCCAATTTGTCGCAATTTTATTTTGTTTTTTATCATCTCTTAGCTGAATTACAATTTTTTATTTTCTAACATTAAGTAATTGTTCTAGTTTTTTTTTTTTTTTAACGGTAGCATGAATGGGTTGTGTTCAGAGGATCCTCCAATGAATCTTTGTCAAAAATTGAACAAAATATTTTTTCTTAAATAAACTAAAAATCCCTAGGAATTACTTACATTTCTTAGAAACATAAATATAATGCCTTCAAGTGGTTCAAATTTCTCCAAGTTCGAATAGCGGAATTCTCTGAATGAATTTAGGCTGAGAATGAAGATATATTTAACGATTTAATTCCTTTATGGCTCGAGAACGTGTGAGTTTTTTTTGTTTTTACCTTAATCTAGGTTGAACCTGTATTTATATACACGAAAGCCAAGAAAGAATTAAAAAAAAATGAATTTCATAAGGTCGTTGTTACGTAACTGGTTGGAGAATGATTTTTGTCGACGGCCCTAAGTCTGTAATCTGCTCGTACGTTTACCCTGAGACTAAAGAAGGGGAAAAAATGAACAGAGATGGTAACCTTCAGGCACCGATTAGATACGTGCTCTCTCACACTTGTTCACATGCGGCTCGCGTTCAAGTTCAAGGCCGTGACTTGTGATACATCTCTAATGTGCTATGATCTATTACAACCAAGTACTCTAGTTTTAAGAGTATTTTAAAACGGTAAAAATTTTTTTTTTTTTACTTCTTTATTATTGCTATGGAACTTTAAAACTCAGTTGGGCCTTATCGTACAATGAATCCATCAATATTCAAAAGCTTATATTCTCACGAAAAATTAATTAATTTAAATTGAAGAAAGCTCATTTGGTTTCTTTTTATGTTGGATGAAAAATTCACAATACTGATTATTACATGATTCTTTTTACACACTTAGATCTGTGTTAAAAGTGATTACAATGTTAATAAACTGGGTGACGTCATATTTAACACACTTATCCGTATTAAAATGAAGCACTTTGGATAACTAAGATTTACAATGCATTAATTGAAATCCATAATTTTGTTATATTTTAATTTTTTTGTTTATAAAAAATTACTATTGTTATTAATCATTGTTTGATCACATAAAGTTATTCATGATAATATTTTATTGGTATTAATTGGATATAATTACAGTAATGATTATTCAATGAATTAAAATCATTGTTAATTGTTTATAACAAATGGAATTTGTTTTAACATTTGATTAATCAATACATAATTGTCTAGAGTCATGTGAAGTCATTAGCAACTACTTTGTATTAATATTGACCTTAATTCTCAAAAATATTAATCATTCAATAAATAGAATCTATTTTAAATGTCTTTGTTTACTTAATTTGTTTTACAATCTTTTTGTTATAAAAAAAGCGATCTTCTTTATTGTATTATCTTTCCAATGAAAGTAGCCTCGAGTCGATATCATCAGTAGTTTCGAGATATCGAAAAAAAAAAAAAAAAACCAAACATATGTATACGTTTTTATACGGACGTTTGAACGTACGTACATCTATTTTTAAACCTTTAAATATGCTTTCAAATGTCTTAAAACGTTAAAAAATAATTAAATTATAAATTTTAAAAATCGATCTTATTAAAATGACTTATTAATGGGAAATTAATAAAAAAAAAAAAACTCGCATTTTGGTAGACTTTAAAATTTCTTTTTGTTATTTAAAAAAACAAAATTGTTCTTCACTTTTACATACAGCAGAGTTTATGTATTTTTAATTCCATCCTTTTTTTTCAATTGATTTATTTAAAATACTTAAAAACGTTTTAAAATCGAGACAATGTTAATCAAATGGATGAAGTCATATTAAAACACTTTTAACGTTTTATAATAATACACTAAGATTTACAGTGTATGTAGTGACTATTCTGATTAGAAATTTTCGACACTGAAAAAAGGATTTATTTATAATTAACATGTTATGTTTATAGTTAAAATTCTATATTAACTATTAATAAATCTTACCTCAATTAAACGTAATTTTTTACAGTGTAATTGACAATACATGAGTCGAGCTATTCCAAACGAATGAAACTACTATTAGTAAGTTCGTAAAAAAAAACTAGATCTATCGATGAACTTTGATTCACTGTTGTACAATTATTCACTCCAAAGTTATTCATGTTTAAAGTTAATATTTAAATTTTATGGTTTTCGTTGAAAAATGTTGTTATTAAATTTCCTTTCATGGAATCGATACTTCAATTTCTAAAACAAAGTAAATGAAGATAGTGCAAAAGTAGGAATGAAAGTATATGAAATTTCCAATAAAAATCTTGAAAGAACTTTGAAGTTACTTCCAACACGTGCGAAGTCAACTTTTGTATGAAATATACGTGGTATATCAATTCAACGTGACATCAATTGGAATTCTTTTATTGCTCTCCATGTTCTTATAAAATTGAAACATATATAATACAGTGGAAATATATGAGATAGTTGCCTACATTGCTTTACATAAGTAATATTTATTCATAATAATTCATTTGACAAGAAGAATTTTTATTTTTTTTTTTATTTATTGAAAAAAAATATTGAACTCACTATTTCTAACAATTACTATATAAGATTGAAGTATAGATTCGGGTTTCTATCCTATTGTTTGTGGGGGAAAAGAATAAATATGAATCAAAATACACGCAGAGAAATGTATAGTAAAAATTACCCTGAATTTTATAGTAATTTGGTGACACTACAGGGTGAGGGTAAAAATTACTATACACATTGTAAAAATTGCTGTGCACATTCTAAAAATTACCATATTGCATAATAATTTTTACCCTAATTTTACCCTAAAAATTACTATGCAGTATGGTAATTTTTAGAATATGCACAGTAATTTTTACCCTTACCCTGCAGTGTCACCAAATTACTATAAAATTCAGGGTAATTTTTACTATACATTTCTCTGCGTGTAGACTCTAAACAATTAAAAATGTTTAAACTATTACATCAGTTTTCGAATATCAAACTATAGCTTTTACAGCATCAT